TCGAGGATGTGTCCTAGAATTCTGCATGTGATAAGTCTACCTTCAATTTACCTGTAACATATTCACCCATGTTTGAAATATTGTATGAGATTGTATTGTATAACTTGTATGAATCCAAAATATGTAGTCGGATGGCATTGTGTAATCATATGTAGTCGGATCCTAACAAAATGTTTGGTTATTAAGATCCTTAGTAAATAGAAGTTTTTTCAACTGTGAGCACATTACATGACTGCATGTTTGATGTATTGTGTGTTTACATTGTATATTACCTCACCTTACCTTGTACACAAGCGGACCGCCTCCGTGGTGTAGTGGTTAGAGCGTCCGCCCGGAGAGCGGAAGGTCGCGGGTTCGATTCCCGACCGCGTCAAACAAAAAGACATTAAAATATGGTACTTGTTGGTCCCTGCCTGGCGCTCGGCATTAATGGGTACAACAAGGACTGGTCGGCTCGGAGTCAGTATAATGTGTCTGAGTGGGGTAATCATGCTTCACTGCGGCATGGTATCTCAGTGGGCTAGCACTATAAAACCAGATTAAGTGTGGGCTAGTACAACCAGCCGCACATACACATACACACGCATGCACGTCTTCATATGAGCGAAATATTCTCAGAAGTACGACGTAAACCCAATTTCACCTCACCTCGTACACAAGCGCGCACGCACGCACTCACTCACTTGCAAATACACACAGGCTAAATGGTTGAGGAGTATGGATCTCACACCGCACTCAGCAATATTCCAGCTATATGGCGGCTGTCTGTAAATAATCGAATCTGGACCGATAATCCAGTGATCAACAGCATGAGCATCGATCCGCGCAAGTGGGATACGATGACATGTGTCAACCAAGTCAGCGAGCCTGACCATGCGATCCCGTTAGTCGCCTTTTACGACAAGCATGGGTTACTGAAGATCAGTATTCTAACCCGGATCTTCACGGGTATTGAGTGATACGAGGTTCGATACAACAGAATCTTTTTGACTAAATTAGAAAGACGCAGGCAGCAAGCTCTCACTTCAAGGCAACAGTACGGTCGACATATCAACTTGCGACACAATGGTGTTTGACTGTAAATGCATTCACTTAAACAACACAGGCGGCTATAGGTATATGAAGCAAGGTCTCCTTCTGGTTGGTGCATAAATATTTTTACTGATGAAAATTTGTAACGATGGATCCTGTAATGTATCGACCCGTAGGTCTCCTTTCTGTTCGATGCATAAATGTGTTTCTTTATGAAAATCTGTAACGATGAAGTGTCTCGAATCTTACCTTTACCCAATATCAGGTGTTCTATTGGATCGGGGGTGGCAACCAGTTGTGTCTGATTGAAGGCTTCCATGAGGTGACAAGACTTGGTGTCCTTGTTGTAGAACATGGTGGTGCAGTATGCACTGAGGAAACACAGAGAGACGCAGTCTGCCCGGGACATGGCTGGAGACCCTGGAGGTAGGGGACGGGGGCACCTGTCCAGTAGATAGCGAGGATACGGTCATTTCAGAACAGGCCATGTTGCCGATGAGGGCTTGTTTTCCGGGCGAAAATTCTCGCACAGTTGAGAAAAGCCTGAAATACAGAGTGACATTACTTCAAACATTACTTCAACGCACACATATGGCCCGGATGTTAGTCTGTGTCGGGTGTCACATATATCTGTAACAAGGTGGTGGACCTATAGATGTAGAACTGTGCAAAAATAAAATAAAAGAGAGAGATGAAAGCTGAGAAGAACCTGAATTACAGAGGGACATTACTTCAGTTACACAATCGAGACAACGTACGAATCACCAAATACAGCCCGGATGCGAGTCTGTGTCGGATTTCACGGATGTTTCTAAACAGGCTGACCCTTGAATGTAGAAATGTACAATGAGAAAAGAGAGGTTGACGATCATACTTGATTCAAGTGTCCAAGTGCTATCCCATTTAGGCACTGTGGCCTGTTCCTGAACTTATACCTCCCGTACTTTAACATATCAAAGATTTACTAAAACTCAAGGGTGGTGGGTTAATCTGATGGTTAAAGCGCCCGCTTGTCACGCTGAAGACCCGGGTTCGATTCCCCACATGGGCACAATAAGTGAAGCCCATTTCTGGTGTCCATCGCCGTGATATTGCTGGAATATTGCTAAAAGCGGCGTAAAATCATACTCACTCACGAAAACTCAACATTCCAAATTGCAGTTACTTGTGTGAGTCTGTGTCGGGTTTCACAGATAAGGTGGACCTGTTAATGTAGAACTTGTACAATAAGAAAAGTGAGTGAGTGAGTTAAGATTTTAAGTCACATCGGCAGTATTTCAGCCATATCGTAAATATATCAAGTTATATATTAATAATAATTATAGGTAAAGTATAAAAACCTGCCAACAAAGGACAGTGAAACAACTAGAATATCACATATATAAATCTAAAACTAGTAACATAGTCTAAAACATTGTAACTATACATGACAATACAATATAAAAACAGGCTATAGATTGCCACAACCGAAGGTAGATCACCATACTAGGGACCATGGGGACTTACATTACTTTTGCTACTTACATGGACCCCAGCTCGATTTACACCATCCCTTCAGCTGTCAGACACTTTTGACAATCTAGCCATAACATTAAAATAACATATATACTGCAATTAAAAACCATTGTAAGTTTAAATTTACACCATCCTTTCAGCTGTCAGCAATTTTTGACAATCTAGCCATAACATTAAAAAACATATATACTGCAATTAAAAACCATTGTAAGTTTAAATTTACTTGAATTCTTTCGGTACTTATGTATCCGCACAGGAGGACAATGATTTTACAGTACTTTAACCCCCTTTGGGGATACAGCCACTAACAATTTTGGTTGTATGCACAGATTGATACACTGCACATATACAAATGTAAATATTTCAGTAGCTGATAATGATTATGTCTCAAATGATGTCAAATATAACAATATTTCGAGGATATCTTTTACCAACATTCAAAGCAACGCCATTTCTGTAATGTCCGCTTGTCTGAAATGATCAGCTACCAGTGTATCCTTGATCACATTGATTATCTCCGATATCAATAGGACCAATCATAAGGGCATTGTCTTGATGTGCCATCAATGCTTGTTATCAGGTACAATTATTGACAAAAGACAATTACTGGACGTTCTAATGAACTGTTTGGCACGTATAGAGATGGGGTTATTAGATTTTCGAGGATGTGTCCTAGAATTCTGCATGTGATAAGTCTACCTTCAATTTACCTGTAACATATTCACCCATGTTTGAAATATTGTATGAGATTGTATTGTATAACTTGTATGAATCCAAAATATGTAGTCGGATGGCATTGTGTAATCATATGTAGTCGGATCCTAACAAAATGTTTGGTTATTAAGATCCTTAGTAAATAGAAGTTTTTTCAACTGTGAGCACATTACGTGACTGCATGTTTGATGTATTTGTGTGTTTACATTGTATATTACCTCACCTTACCTTGTACACAAGCGGACCGCCTCCGTGGTGTAGTGGTTAGAGCGTCCGCCCGGAGAGCGGAAGGTCGCGGGTTCGATTCCCGACCGCGTCAAACAAAAAAAGACATTAAAATATGGTACTTGTTGGTCCCTGCCTGGCGCTCGGCATTAATGGGTACAACAAGGACTGGTCGGCTCGGAGTCAGTATAATGTGTCTGAGTGGGGTAATCATGCTTCACTGCGGCATGGTATCTCAGTGGGCTAGCACTATAAAACCAGATTAAGTGTGGGCTAGTACAACCAGCCGCACATACACATACACACGCATGCACGTCTTCATATGAGCGAAATATTCTCAAGTACGACGTAAAACCCAATTTCACCTCACCTCGTACACAAGCGCGCACGCACGCACTCACTCACTCACTTGCAAATACACACAGGCTAAGTGGTTGAGTGAGTATGGATTCACACTGAGTTTAGCAATATTCAAGCACTGTCACGGCGAGCGCTCATGTAATGGACTTAAAGAATTGTAGCAATGTGGAGAATCGAACCTAGGCCTTTGGTGTTACAAACGAGCACTTTAACCAATAGGCTTCGCTAGCGCCTGTGTATGTTGTCCCTTTAGTACATATGGAGAGGAAAGCCTCCAGGTTTTCATTATCCTAATTTAGTTATTTTGTGATAAAGTCCTCCTGAAAGATCTGTTTCCTTCAACTGTGTGAGACGGATCGAGGTATGATTGATCAGTTCTATTGAAATACACTTCCTTGAAGAAGTAATGGAGATGGTTCTATTTGTCTATATCGTCCACTGAACATACAAGCCTTCGGCAAGGTTTCGATTAATCTATTACAGGATAATATACCTGTTGAGAGATATTATATATTATCCTGGCATCAGTCTACATGTTAAACACTGTCTTCAAGTCCTACTGGCATTAGTCTAATATTCTCCACCCGGCATCAGTCCACATGTTAAACACTGTCTTCAAGTCCTACTGGCACTCCTGAAGTGCGAGTGGGTGAAACACTAATAGCTCTGCTCTCGCTTGGACCCGTGGTTGAATGTGTCCCTGTGTCGGTGGAGGACGGGAGTCTGGTGGTTGAGGGCACTGGTTCCAAGAATAGCGTTCCTTTGGCCAATACACAACTTCGACCTCTGTTTTACTTATACGGATGGTAGAATGGTTCTATCAATCGGCTGATAACCCCAAGCCCTGTGCAGATGTATATTCCACCGGTTATTTTATGCTCTCTCTCTCTCTCTCTCTCTCTCTCTCTCTCTCTCTCTCTCTCTCTCTCTCTCTCTCTCTCTCTCTCTCTCTCTCTCTCTCTCTCTCTCTCTCTCTCTCTCTCTCTCTCTCTCTCTCTCTCTCTCTCTCTCTCTCTCTCTCTCTCTCTCTCTCTCTCTCTTTTTGTATGTCTTTCTAACGACGACAATCCTCCAATGCTGGTGTCCCCCACTGTGATATTGTTGGAATATTGCTTAAAGCGGAATAAAACTAAACTCACTCTCACTCCAGTACCACATCACGACAGTGTCCCTTTATTTATCAAAACAAAAGTGTATATCTACATCGATATTTCACAGACGTAGGTCATGGCATGAGTGTGACATTCACCGGCGTGCCAGCTGTTGGGGAGTTCCAGCTTCCAGAAGGTCAAACATGTATAGGTTGCAAGACCATTCGGTTCATTGGGAGCCCAGAATGTGGGTTCAGAAACTGAAGAGTTGTCTCCCCATCTCCAGGATGATCCTAGTATGTTCCCGCTCGTCCAAAACGGCCCTACAAAAGAAGAAATACATTAATGAACATTTACTTATGATGCCACTGATCATTTGCAAGTTTACTCATTTCGGTTATCAGTCCAAGAAAAGGTCCAAAGCTTCCTATTATAATAACTCCGATTCATTAAGTAAAGATCTTTTAGATACTGAATTCTCAAGGATACTTCTTGGAAATGAAAAAGCTGATATATTGCCAAAAGCTGCATTAAATTTTGATGTATCAGACCAGTATGAGACAATACTACCTTCTCCTGCTGATTTAAGAAGAGTCAGTAACATCCATGCTCTAACAAAATGGCAACTGAGATGGGCCTCATCCTTAAATGGACGCCATCTGTATGGCATTGAGACCTTTCTTTCTAAATTACACGTATCTCGAAACAATCGGAGAGCAGAGGTTCTTTTAACTAGACTTCGTCTTGGGCATTGTGGTCTTGGGGCATATCTCAGTATTATTAAAATCGATATTTCTACGAATTGTTCCGTGTGTAATCAGCAAGGTAATGTGACACATTCTTTACTGCATTGCCAAAAATATGTAAGTCAACGTAAGGCGATGATGTAATCTCAACATTGACATCTCATTGGCTGGACTAATGTGATCAAGGAATATCAAGGATTATATTAATGCGTGTGGTAGCTTTAATACTTTATAAACTGAGCAAACCTTCATGATGGGCAAGGTGTAAATGGCCCGAGTAGTCCGAACGCCTATCAAACTTTTAATGCTCAATCAGTCAATCCGATTCATCAAGACAATCAACGCCTGTACGCCTGTGCGCCTGTAGATGGACAGCCACACCTCTTGTTTTCAAACATGGGTTCAGGGCGTTGTTCCGGTTCAGGTAAGTCGCCTCTTACGACAAGCATAGTTTGCTAAAGACCAATTCTAACCCGTATCTTCACGGGTCAAACTACCACAATTAGGTATGTGATACAGGTAAGGTACAAGAAATATCAACAAGCCTGCCCGTCAACATATGTATACTTGTAATGCATGGCTTACATCCCCTGCTTCCGTTCTTTTCAGAGACAAAGTCCAAATTTATAAAATTTACAATAAATAAAACTTGTGGGGAATTATATATAGCATGAGACAATAGTTTAACACTAATTATCCATGAGCGAAGTTGGGTAAAGAAGGATTTACTGTTTTAAGATCTGCCATAGGAAGGAGATATTTCTAGTCTTGGTTCAACCTGTTGACAGGCAAACAATATATTCTTCAAAACTCCCAAACTAACAAAGTACTACTGGACCTATCCTTGTGCCAAGATGGGTAAAAATACTGTACTGTTTTCAAGGTCTGCTCCGGCAACAAACAGTGCCGTCATTTCTGGCCTACGAATATGTGTTCCCATGGAAATTCGGATAACAGTTCTTCAAAACTAACAAAGCACTAGTTACCCACTAGACCTATCCATGGACTAAGTTTGGTGAAGAAAAACTATGGAGTTTTCAAGAAATTCTCCAGAAACAAAACGTGACGGATGGACACCGATTCTATATCCCACGTCACTGTTGTTTCGCCGGTGATGATAATACCACTCGTTTTCTAGCATCAAACCAAAAATGACCTCATGATTGTTTCTCATAACTTACCAATCATCAGATGTTGTATTTCCCCAGGGATATGATTCTGAACTTGCAACAGACTTTGTAATCTTTAATTGACAAGATGGCAAATATATCCAATTATCTGAATCAATTTCACCCAATCTCTGAGATGAACGCACTGGATAACAACATGTCACATGACTCTCACCAGATCGAAAGATAATGAACCATCCAAATCATATTCTTCACAAACTTACCAATATCTGCAGCAATGTCGTACATGAACTGGTTCCGTTCAGCGCTGTTGATCATGACGAGGTAGCTGCCCACTGCTGAACACGCCGTCTTGGCTTCAGGCCACACTTTGAGGTCGGAGTGCTTCTTGTAACACATGTTCAGTCTCCGGTTGTACAAATATCCTGACTGGATTGGGCAAGCAGCTGGAACAAATAACGACCAGTGGCATGTTAGATGTAGCATCAGAAGAGGAAGTGATGGCGTCATCGTCTCAAAACGAAACCTTGAACCTTCGTTCTCACAAGTCATCTGAGATATACGTGAAATCCCTCCGCAAATCTCCTTTCTTTTCAAATATTACAACCTTCCCCAAATATTTTTCTTGCAAAAGTTCCTATCTACGAAAGCCTAATGCTGTCACTATTGTGGCATAAAATACCTTTTCAGCGACATTTCTCGTTGTTTCGATTATTTTGTCGGTGCTTAGGAGTATGTTCTCGTTATTTACACGTTCCTATGAGTATTTTCTCGTTACTTCAATTATTTTTGCGTTATATAGAACAAACTTTATGGATAACAACTTCTTTGTATTCGTGAGTGCGACGTTTCGATACAAATTCTTGTACCATTGTCAAGCATAATACTTGACAATGTTTGTTCTATATTGTACTTCCCAACTTCTAAAATGCCACTCAAAGAAGTTATTTTTTCATTGCTTCGATTAATTTCTCGTTGCTTTAAATATTTTCTCATTGCTTCAAGTTTCTTTAAAAAACTTGAAATTTCGAGTATTTTCTCGTTGCTCAAGTTTTTTTCTAAAACTGAAAAGTATTTTCTCGAAGCTCCGAGTATTTTCTCGTTACTTCAAGTGTTTTTAAAAGAAACTTGAAGCAAAAAAAAATAGTTGAAGCAACGAGAATTATTCGAAGCAACGAGAACTTTTGCTGAAAAAAACCCAGACAGTTATGCTACAAAAGTTGCAGCATTAGGCTGTCATACCTATCTGGCATGGCAGTATAGCTTATTTCTTATTCTTAACAATGTATCAGTTTTAATTCCCTACCGTAGTTTCCTGTAATATTTAGAAAATTATTACTTCTGGATTCAAACTATCATCAAACACTCTTTAGTCAACATGTCCCGGAACACTTCAGTTTGTCCCCTTCCCACAAAGACATCTCTTTACACGCGGCTTTCGAGAAAGCACTAATAGTCCTGTTTTAAGACGGGCTAGAGAGTTGAATTATCGTGTCTGATCAGTCAATAGTCACCAGCACAGCAGTGTGATGAGTTTTGTATACATAGGATACTAAATAGGGCTGGGATGGGTCCAAGTTTTCTACCCGGGTACCCCGCCCACTATAACCCTACACTACCCTGATACCCGTTATGTTAATTCCTGACATAAAATTTGTAAGAAATGTCAAGGCTAAAATTTCGAATTTGTTAATATCTTAACCATGTATTCCAAACAGGTGGCTGTAAATTATGTCTAAATCTTCAAAGACAATACATCCTTCTAAACCTGAAAGAATAACATATTACATTGTTTAAACTATTAGTCACATGAACATAACGGGTCAGGGTATTGAGACGGGTACCCGGGTCCAACTCATTACCCACCCGTGCCGGGTATCCGGGTATCCCTGTCCTCGCCCTAGTACAAATTGCCAGCAATGTGCTATTTCGGAAGGAACCTGTTCAACTAAATTACCAAGACTGACTAGCTAAATAACTTATGTCAGGAAATGTTACCGTAGAGTTAGGGTGGTGGTGGTGGAATTGGGTTTAACGTCGTGCTGGAGAATATTTCGCTCATATGACGACGTGCATGCGTGTGTATGTGTATGTGTGGCTGTTTGTACTAGCCCAGACCTAAGCTGGTTTTATAGTGCTAGCCCACTGAGATACCATGCCGCAGTGAAGCATGGATACCCCACTCAGACACATGAAACTGACTCCGAGCCGACCAGTCCTTGTTGTACCCATTAATGCCGAGCGCCAGGCAGGGACCAACAAGTACCATATTTTAACGTCTTTTTGGTTTGACGCGGTCGGGAATCGAACCCGCGACCTTCCTCTCTCCGGGCGGACGCTTTAACCACTACACCACGGAGGCGGTCCCGAAATGTAGGACTATTCGGAAACAGATGTGAATAGGAATACAATCGTTCGGCTAATGTAACAAGTAAATCACCAGGTCATATTGGAGGTATATTGTACGGGCAAACAATTGTCAACGAAAGACGACATGATACGGGCAAACAATGGTGAACTTTTAAAAAATGAACGCTTGCGATGATGACCTGATCAATAATACGTCAATACCCATACTGGTAAAACGGTTTATGGTGCAAATCAATCTCCTTTTGCCGGTTTTGAAAGTCTTGTCCTCTTCTCTTACCAGCGGCTGGACCTGTTCGGCTAGCATGGCGGGTGGCCTTGGACTTCTCCAGACACGTCCATGCTGATTCAGAAAGTTCAGAAAGAATCTGGAGACAGTTCGTCGTTCCCCGTGTTTCTATGGTCTGAACACCATTGGCGTGTGGCTAGAATGTGTGGACTTGCAACTTGTGGTACAACACATGATCGCTGAGCATCCAGCATAAACCAAACTCATTGACTCGTTCAGGGAATCTACCAAACAACGATGTGGCAATGATCTCTTCAAACATTCAAAATGTATAAACATCACCCGCCATTAAGTAAACTCTATACATAATCACGCGTTGAAACCAGTAGCGGATGAGTGGATAGAGTGACATGGCTTGATAATTAATACGATTTCAGCCCTAAGGAGGCGTATCAGATGAATATGGTCGTCTCGAGGGGAAACCTGAATTGTTGCAGGCTTTAGAGATTTGCCACTTTGCTTGTAAGCTTGTTTTTTGTAATCTGGTGTCTGTGTTTTAAGTGGGTGTAAATATTCTTCAGTGGGTACTAAACCGCCCGTTTTTAGAAATGTATGTGTTTTCTATATCATTAATTTAAGAATTATTCAACAAGCTAACTTTGACCAATCATGTGTATCAACGTTACAAAAATACGAAAGAAAAACATGATGAAATTGAATTTTTTTAATAAATTTTCCTGTAAACATATCAAATATGTGCTTACTTCCTGGACTATTTCAAAAATATTGTTTACAACGTTTATGTTATGTATGTAAATTGACATTAATGTTTTCTACAACCGTTCATTAGTTTCAGTTACCCATTTGGTTCTTAATGGTAAGTCTGGGTACGCAAGTGGATGACCAACCAATGCGTTTCTGCATATGCCTTTGCGTATTTGGGACGCTAAAAAAATATTTCAGTGCGTATTTTGAAAATGTCAATGCGTATTTCACGCTAATATGCAACTTATCTAGCTCTCTGCCACTTTGCTGAACATCCTGGAAACATAATCGGCTCGAACCGGGGTTCAAACTGCGTCACCACTGCTGATTAGGCCATATTTTGTTCCCCCACCCCACCCATTCACATAACACAACACCCACACCCATTTCTATGTGTAAAGTGTTATGCGGGTATATTAGTTATAAGGTAAAAATGACGTCACATGAACCTTATAAAACAAGAACTTTAAAATGATGGTTACCGCCACGATAGCGTTAACACTGACGTTGTTTTTGGAAAAATCAAGGGCGACAGAATCGCGCGTGATCTAAACCACAAAACAAATGGAACTTACAGAGTTGACGAGTAGTTAATATTGACAAGTAATCATTAGAGACAGTGAGTGTGGGAATAGCAATATTCCAGCAATATAACGGCGGGGGACACCAGAAATGGGCTTCACATATTGTACCCATTTGTGGGGAATCAAAACCCGGCCTTCGGCGTGACGAGCAAACGCTTTAACCACTAGCCTACCCCACCGCCCCTCGATAGAGAGATGACAGGAAATCAATACATAGAGGATGAATCAGTCAGGTAAATTCCAGTATTTTTCCAATCAAAACAACCATGGGTTCATGGTCTGAACATTTAACGAATCAGACTGATGTACCAGGAGATGAGACAAACAATGGCCAGACTCAAACAACTTTAAAGAGAAACTTCTAACACTTGCAGAGTAGTGCGGGTTTTCAAAACGAAAGATGCGAAACGTTGTCACTTAGTTTCCCTTCTCTGGGACGAGCCTATCCTGTCTTGTGTTGAAGTTGTATTTCAGAGAGTGAGTGAGTTTACTTTGACGCCGCACTCAGCACTTTTCCTGCTATATGGCGGCGGTCTGTAAATAATCGAGTATGGACCAGACAATTCAGTGATCAAAAGCATGAGCATCGATCTGCGCAATTGGAAACCTAAACATGTGTCAGCGCGCCTGACCACCCGATCCCGTTAGTCGCCTCTTACAAGCATTGGTAACTGAAGATCAGTTCTAACCGGATCTTCACGGGTAGTATTTGGAAGAGGTGGGCTGTGGTGGAGTAAACTTGTGTGAGTATAGAGCCTGATGTTAAGGTAGCCTACAAGTATCCACACCTGGATCTACTCAACGAAACGTAAACTGTCTGTACTAACAGACCGACATTTGCCCACGAGAGACAACGTGTTCTGTAAACGTCAGGGTTCAGCAGGCTGGACGGTATACCATTGTCTATTGATAATGAAATATGTGAAGCATATGTTGCATTCTGTGTCTGATTCTCAGCGGACTCCCTCTGTACGCAGTGAAAGCCTTGGTCCCAAGTGTAGGATAAATCCATAGGGGATACTTGAACATTAAATATACGATGTGGTTCCCGACGCCGTCGACCCCATTTTTTTCCTTTTCAAAACGGAAACATGACGTGATATATACTACTGGGTCCCCGTCCACAAAGCGTTCGTTGCGCTCCGACATTCGTAAGCCTATGATAAATCATAGAGATACGACCTGTCGTAACTTTACGAACACTTTGAGGATCGGGACCCTGGAATAAAGTAACGGTGCATTATTTGATGTTACACCATTTGTTAATGCAAAAAGATAATAACATGATTTGTGGTGTTTTCCTTAATCGCTGTTTAACCGTAGACAGGATTATATCGAAAGCTTTTTTGACACTATGCATCGAGACACGTCCCTGTAGAGATGTGGTGTCAAAAGTCAGTTCATAAGTCAGTTCGTGTGTGTCCACATTGGCGTTGATGCAGGCTTGACAACGATGATGCATAGATGACACTAAGCGATTGAAGAAAGCTTGGAAATGTTG